ATTCTAAAAATACCTTGATAATTACGAAGCTATATGCATGCCTATGTGCACGCCAAAAATCCTACACTTACGGGGAAAATCTACGAAACGGGGCTTACGGAAACAGCTCCACGTTAATCTCGCTCCCCCTAATTTGCAGGGTGGGGCCTTCCTCCCCCTCGTTTCTCAATCATCTTGTGTCAACTCATCCCGTAACTTCCATCCCGTGGGAAGTTATCCGTAGGTATAGTAAATCCCATGTGCACGCCTATGTACTATACTCCCAGTTTAGGTACAATAATATGTGTGGGCAGGTCAGATGGGCTTAGGATCGTGATTTCCGATGGACAATAGATCGACAATGGTTTCAGCATCTGACTGGCGAAATGCTCGAGTGGGGCTTTACAATCGTTAATGATGGGCTAGGAGCGCGACTGCCACCTTGTCGATGGATTATCAACAACAATATAGAAGGTGGTCGAAAATGCAGGGAAGAAGCGGCTTTGGAGAGTTGGCTTTAGGCCCTGTTTGTTTGGGCTACAGACATATTCAGATGCGGACTTGTTGTGCTGGTAAAGTTGTTGTGCTGAGGAAGTTGCTCAAGTGAAAGTCAGTTGTTTGGCAACACAACTATGAAAGCACACAGCTAAGGAAAACGCGAGGGGCAAAGGGAGAGATAGGTCGTGCATGCGGTGGCATTTATGATATAATTACGACCAAACACCAAAAGCATGGGAGGTAGGGAAACAACTTTGATTATGAAGTACATCGAGACATGCTTTGGCCAATCACACTGGAAATAACACTAATCAGCTTTGGGTTGTGATTCCACAAATGCTCTAAAATAGTTGTTTGCTTCAAGTTAAGCTTTTCCCAGACCAAAGCTATCTTCCAAAGCTGAAACAAACAGAGCCTTAAAAGCGTACGCAACAGCTGTGAAGCAAGTATGTGCAAGAGAGATGCTACACCACCGGACCCAATCTACAACAACGTTAAATCTACAAGCCAATAAGGGTGGGGGGAGCCCGGTGAAATTCAGGGAAAGGACGCGGGGAGGTGGGGGTAGTTGGTGGGATATGTAACCTATGTTCGTAAGTATTGGGTTTTGCAAATAGCCACCACCATAATGGGAGAGATCTGTCGCGTACATGGAAACTTAAAGACGTCCAGATGGTGGTAAGAGTACATGAGGTTAAGCCAAAGTGCGTATCTAATCTATAAAAGTATCAAAAGCCAACTTCCAGTGAATAAATCAGGTAAATGAAATTCTAGTATAACCACTAATTGTTCTAACATTTAAACTTAATATACATCAATACTAAAAGTACGGATCTAAACCCTGTAGCCATGCATCCAGTTTAAGGGGGTGTTTGTTTCCAGGGACTTTTTTGTGTAGGAACTAGAAAAAGTCTCTCTTAGAGACTTTTTTACCAAACGGGAGAGACTTTTTTAGGGACTAAACTAGGCATTTGGGACTAAATGAGGAAGACTCTCAAGGAGTCTTTTTGGGACTTTTTGGAACTTTTTCAGCAATGCCCCTCCATGCACCCATTGGCCCACCACCCCATGATATTGTTTGATTGTTATTTTTATATATATACTAAGGGCAACATGGTCATTTGATAACCTTTAGGAAGGGACTAGGGACTTTTTAGTCTTTGGAAACAAACAGGGAAGGACTTTTTAGGGAGTAGGGACTTTTTAGTTGGGACTAGAAAAAGTCCTAGGACTAGATAACCAAACACCACCTAAGATAATGACTCAAGAATTAAGCTGGGTATCTATAATTAAGTTATGTCTTAATTGCACCTTTTTTTTCTATCACCGCCTAACTATTTTTTTTCATCCATCTCTTTGACTAAGGGTGCAATCTTGGGTGGTGGAGCTGGCATTGGAGGACTAGGCCCAGGCATGCATGGAACTAAACCCTAAGCTGTTCGGTCCATATATACTAGTATATGCCATCACACAGAAATATATTTCCTTCCGCTCAATACTTCCAGATTTTTCGTAACAATATGTGGTCTCTCTTGTACGTGCATGGCAAAACTAAATAATTCCATAAATAAAATGAATTAGCAGAGGCGGCATGGTTCGACGGGGAGTACGCGAGGTGGGTGGACGAGCACGACAGGATGATGCGGCACCTGCGGGCAGCGGTGGACGCGGAGGGGGTGGAGCACGACGCGGCGGTGACGGACGGCGAGCAGCTGCTGCGGCAGCTCATCGACGCCGCGGCGGCGCACCACGTGGTGCTGGCGGAGCTCAAGTCCGCCGTGGCCAGGGCCGACGTGTTCCACCTCGTCTCGGGGATGTGGCTGCCCGCCGCCGAGCGCTGCTTCATCTGGATTGGCGGCTCCCGCCCGTCGGACCTCATCAAGGTACGTACAATAATTTTGGATTTTTGCATGGGAATTAAGAGTACAGCTGTAGTGCATGCATGACATATAAGCTGGCTGATCATCATTAAGAGACAGATTAAACATATATGCAATATATCATACTCCCTCCGTTCCTAAATACTTGTCTTTCTAGACATTTCTATAAGTGACTACATACGAAGCAAAATGAGTGATTCTACACTCTAAAATATATCTACATACATCTGTATGTAGTAGTCATTTGAAATGTCTAGAAAGACAAATATTTAGAAACGGAGGGAGTATGTGTTTACATACATTTGTTGAGGATATGCAAGTGCTATTATTTTCTTTTTTTCAATAAAGTATGTTCTTAAAAAAATAAAAGGACTCTTTTATTAGCTTAAAATGTAGCATCAAGCAGATACAAAGGATGATGAACAAATGCTACTAGCTAGTATTATTATTTTGATGATTAAGGTGAAGAGACCGGAGAAGGCATGCAGCTCTTCAGAAGATTAGGTAGAGAGAGACGTATTATATGATGGATTAGCTAGCTATCGCCTATCACTACTTAATCTTAAGTAGGTGAGAGGTCCCAGTTCAGAGCAGCTGATGGAACAGTCGGGCCTTCACAAGTCTTTGGCTAAGGTAGATTAATCAGTAGAGACCGATCGACGCCTATGATTGCTATTTCTGTGCCGGAAGAAAGCGTACTTGGCCGCGAGAGTTGGTAAAGGAGGGAGGTTAGATATGGGAGGTCGACGTGTATGTGGATTGGCTAGCTCCTAAATGAAACGGGATATTATTCCATCCGTTTCATAATGTAGTGCGCATAGAATTTTCAAAAAGTTAAATATTTAAAGCATTGATCAAGTTTATAAAGAAAACTATTTATATCTAATATCTTCAATACTAAATATATAAAATATGAAACTGCTCATCTGTCCCATCTCTACTCTTATAAAAAACCGAGCTGGTGATGATGGTGTGTCTGTCATCTTGTAATATAGACCGTCCGATCTACATCTAACGGATAGAAAGCAAACTATGACAATTTTACAAATAAAAATCGCACATCTCTCCACATTTACAGATAAGGTCTTGCCTCGTTCATCATTATCTCCCACAACCTCATTGCTGGGCAATTAAAAAAAAAGTCTCTGAAACAATATAGCATGGTGGCCGCTGCCGGCGCCGTCCATCCCCATGCCTCCGCCCAGTCCGACCACCAGTCACCACCACGCCCCACTCCTTCTCACCTTATCTCTCATCTTTCTCGAGATATCATTTTTTCAATGAAATTCTCGAGATACCATTTTTAATATACACATTTAGCAAAAAAATGACTTAAGACAAACCTAATGCGAAGTAGAAAGAAATAGAGGGTGGGGGGGGGGGGTACTTCTTCAATTTTGACACGTCAGTGTACAAAAAGTCTGAACAGATCAATGCAGTTGACAGTGAACCTTGTCTTAAAATAATTTTATCAGACCAACACATCTACTGCCTCCGTTCATAAATATTTAAACTGTCAAAAAGTCATATATTTAGGAACAGGTGTAGTAGATTATAATGGGAAATAAAAATGCAGGTTATGGCGCGGCATATGGAGCCACTGACGGAGCAACAGGCGGCGGGCATGTACGACTTGCAGCGATGGGCGCAGGAGCGCGAGGAAGCTCTGGACCGTGAGCTCCAGGCCACGTACCGCTCCCTCTCCGACACCGTCTCCTCCGACGCGCTCATCTCCCCCTACCCCGACACGGCCGCCTACATGGCCCACATGTCGCTCGCCATCTCCAACCTCTCCTCCCTCGAGGCCTTCGTCAGACAGGTGCCACACTTACACGAGTGACTTACGCGCGCTTAGTCAGTGCACCTGATAACTGTTCCGTTTGCTATGTGATGTGATGATGCAGGCAGACGCGCTGAGGCTGCAGACGCTCCATAGGCTGCCGCAGGTGCTGACGGCGAGGCAGGCGGCGCGGTGCTTCCTCGCCGTCGCCGACTACTCGCAGCGCCTCCGTGCGCTCAGCTCCCTCTGGCTGGCGCGGCCGCGCCAGGACCAGCCCGCCCCGCCCGGCGCCGGCGGCCGGCTGTTCCATCCATGAAATCCTACATGCATCGTCACCTGGCCGGCCAGCTAGCTAGGCATATACACAGCATAGAAGAAAAGGTAATTAGGTTTTCAGATAGAGGTGATCAGATGATGGATGATCCATTTCTTGCCCCTTCGACAAGTGGTTGGTAGTTACTTCTGGTAATTGTGTATATATATAAGAGTAAGTTTTAACGTGCAGCTGACAATTTGGCAGTATAAAAAATAAGAACTGACATTCCTACTGTAATCTGTGTGTTTGCTATGCTGGACTGACTCTGCTTCTCAGCATTGTGAATCATCTTATTGCCAGTTAAACAAATCAACGAGTCACTGTATTTGTGTTACAAATGTGATCTACAGCCAATGGGCCAACCTCTCCACTAATTTTGATACTCACTGCATCTCATTCTCCCACTTGTTTAATCCAAACTCTTAATTAAGTTACAACAACTAATGTGCCATATCTCAGCTCTCTTTAAAAAAATACAACAAGAAATGCATCTGTCAAGCTTGCAGGGCTCAATTGGTGTGACCATGGGTACACAAGAATCTCCCTGTTACAATCTGTCAAGGGCATCGACGATGGCCTTGCGAAACGAGTCGTTGTGGAGTAAAAAAGAGGACACATGGCCTCCCGTCACCCACCGGACTTCCGAGCCCGGCCATGCCTTCTGGAGCTCCATGACCGAGTGTCTAGGAATATAACCGTCATCCTGAAACAAGGACAACATACATGGCTTTAGACTGGAACCAAGCTTCAATAGATACTCTGATCTCTGATATTAATAAAAGGTTTCACTCAACACTACAGAGCACAGAGCACAGATTACAGAAACAAGCTAATGAACAGAGGTGTGGATGATCATTGAATGGATCAGCTCGGATAACACTCATGCTATGACAAAAGTGATGCGGAAAACATATATATTATCACTTTTTAGGTGCTGTAAATAATACGTCTGTTGTTGAAATAGTAGCAAAACACATATTGAACTAGTATTGAAAGCACTCTGTAGGAAATCTACCTACGATGTTGTAAGTAGAAGACCCAGGTAGCATTAATCACATTTGGATATATGTGGTACAGAACAAGTGAGTAGCACTAACCGTTGCACCAACAAAAATGACAGCCTGTGGATTCTTCGGTAGGGGAAATCGAGTGACGTCCGTCAGAGACAGCACTGACCATAATCTGTCTTTTACTTGCTCAATGCTGATACCGGATGCCGCATCTTCAGTCAAAGAAGTTGCATCTTTAGCTAATGCTGCTGCATCTTCCCTCAGTGCTTCCCAAGCTGTGGCATGTCTGTAAAGTCCTTCACAGAAAGGTACAACAGCAGAATGTGGAGCAAGAAATGGTAGTGTGGCAATTGGCGTAGGATGCAAGGATCCAACCATTGCAGCATGTACACCGCCTGTTATTAACAAACAAATGCTTATGAAAACAAGTGGCAAAATATTTCATAAATAAGGAATTCCTATATAGTCTCAGAATAAAGTTTTTGAAATAAACACAATACTAGTAATTTTCATATGACATTTTTTCTAATGAAACTAAGACAAAATAGTGGAGACAAGCAAGGACTCCTTTTTTTAATGAGAAAAGTACATACCCATGCTGAGCCCACATATGCCCATCTTGCCATAACCAGCCTCAGCCTGCAACCAGTATAAGAGACTGCGAGCTTCATCAATAGTGGCTTTTCCTAAGAGTAGCAAGTCACTCACACATTGAAGCTTGGCCCCATGCTGCATGCTAGGACGTCGTTGTCCATAATAGGGGCTGCATTTCATTAGAGATATCAGTTCCAGCCAGGAAGACTGAAAATTGACAAAAATGCAAGGTACCCTGTTGTACAAACCTCACCTCTCAAGAACCATGGTTGCAATATTGTCCTTCAAAAGAGGTCCACCAAGCCGGAGCCTTCTCTCAAATGAGTGATCACCGGTGCCTAAAATATTGAAGAAAGGCTTAACTTGATTCACTAAATGTGGGTCCCTGGTTAAAAGGGGGAGAACTGGAGATCATCTCAGGTATTAAGAAAACAATCGTAGTGAGAACTTCCAAGAAAAACAGGGCATCAACACAATCATGCTTGTTAGTAGAAAACAAGTCACATTATAAAAAAAAGGGCAGCCCGGTGCACGTAGCTCCCGCTTGCGCAGGATCCGGGAAAACAAGTCACATTATGGAAACAGAAATTCTAAAACTAGAAAATCTCTCACCATTTTATTCAGATAGTAGATGGAAAAGTTGAATTGCTGCATTTCAGAAATCTACTGGTTCTGTTCTGAAACGAGGTGACAAAGCTAAATGTCACCAAAGTACATAGGCATAAAATACATTGATCCGTTCAACCAGTAATAATATCTAAATGTGAAAGGCATAAAAGAATATTTTCTGAAGTCTGGTGGATTGGAAAAAAATCTGAAGTGATGATTCGCTGCATATGGTATGAAGTACATATATACACCGGTTTATGGATCCTGTCCAACACTAATTCAAAGACGAAGAATATTTATCTAACTATATGATAATGGCACACCATGATAGAGTAAGATCGGGTTACAAAGTTCGTACCTGCCAGATGGACCACGCAAGCCATCTTCTCTGGTGAGACATCCTTGGGTGTAAGAAAAGCGACTCTTGCATTGTGGCTCTCAGGAGGCAATGCATCAATGAGCCTCTCATCACATGTTGTCCGGAAAACACCCTCTCGCAGACAAGAGTTCTTTGTCTCCCAAACTGTTTTCCATTTAGGCTGCACAGCAGTTGGTGGCCAGTTCTGGCAAGGTGCTTCAGGGAATAGCTGCTTCACCATCCTCTCTAACAAATCAAGTTTGGTACCTCCCCATCCCCTTGAGAAAAATGGTGTTCCTAATTTCGTGCGATGAAGGAGAGTCCCATATATATGGTCCAATACATAATGTACTAACCCAACATTCACTGATACCATATTCAAGAATGTCTTATTAAAGTTGATTACTCAGACTTTACCACAAATTACAACCACAAACACTGGCAAATGCCTGCACCAACAAAATTTAAAAATTGTCCAAGTCAGCATATTCCGAGAAGTACGACATAACAGGAACTTAACAATTAAAGCAGGAGAATGGTTTCCAGCGCTAACAGAAAGCAAGAATAAAATGAAGCAAGCCCACTAGTTTGAAATTTTGGATATAAAGCATAGCCCACTAGAAACACAACTATGGAAGGAATTCCCCATTGCAATGCAGCATCATGCCATCAGACATTGAGATTCAAGGAGCACAACCACATTACACAAATCCACATCAACTAAAAGCAGCATCTCCGCCAACGGAACGGACCTAATCGAGACAAATCTGAAAGATAATCACTCGAGGTATTCGACAGGGCAGACACCTGACGACGCCCAATGCAGGCAAATCCAGGCGCGCTCTACGGCGTCGCATCTAATAACTATCCAGGCCAGGAATCCAGCTCGCTGCCAACGCTGCAATGCCCGAACCGACCAGGCAGACGCCGACTCTCTTAAGAAGCACGACGGCCGGTTCGGACCGCGCGCCTGCCTAATCCGTGGCGGACCGGAGCAAGCGACGACGGCGGCGGGACGCCAAGAGACCACGGGAGAGCCGCTCGTGCGCAGGAGGGATCGGCACAATCCAGATCGAGATCCACGGGAGGGAGGAGAGAGAGTCAGAGAGAGAGAGGTGGAGGCCGCGAGAGAAGCGGTCGCGGGGAAGGGGGCAAAGTGAGGAGGAGGAGGCGAGACCCGCGCGCGGTGACGCGCCGTGAATTACCTCGTTGGATCCGCGGCGCCGCGAGGAAGGCGGCGCGGGGGTCGGGCGCGGCCGTCGCCGGCGTGGGGATTCTCGCCGGGTGCGTAGATTTGGAACGAGTTCTTTTTGGTTGCGTTGTCGGGCGCGCGCAGGGAACCGGAGAAAGGTAGTATAGTACACGGCGGGCTCCGGCCTCGGGGGCCCGCACCCGGTTTTGGATCAGGACATCGAGGTGGCTACCAGACATCGGTCGCGACGTGCGTATACGTGTAGGGCCTGTCTGGTTCAAGTTTTGAACAGCAGATGTATTGTATACACAACTCAACGCAATCTCGTTAAGCAAAAACAGCCCCAAATTTATTATCTGCAAGTTGTTTAGTTGCCTGCATCTAGTGTCCCTGCATTAGGTAATACGTAAGTGCATTTTGTTTGGTTGTCTGCATTGGCTCAAGCGACACATAACCACGGCGTTTGGTTGCATACGGCGTACATGGTGTGCTTACCTTGTATCCTAGTTGATGAGCTTATCCACAATGATCACACCTAGCACACCAACACCATAACATAGCAATGGCGATGAACTGGACGAAGATGATTAAGTTCTTCAGCTTGAGCCCAAACTGACGATCCACCTTAGCACCTTCCACTTTGACACCTCCAACCTTGTCACTGTTGTCGATGACAAAACCGGTAGATCTCGGATAGAGGGTTCCGAACTGTGCGTCTGAGAATCAATGGTAACAAAGGACGATAGGGACACGATATTTACCCAGGTTTGGGCCCTCTTAAAGGATGTAAAAACACACGTCCTGCTTGATTGTATTCAATGAGTATAGGGGTTACAAGAGTTAATCTACCTCGAGATCGTAATGGATAAACCCTAATTGTCTAGCCTGTGAGAATTCTGATGGCCTCTATGGACTAAACCCTCCGGTTTATATACACATCGGAGGGGCCTAGGGTTAACAGAATCGATTTGTGGGGGAAGGAAATAATATATCCGGACACCAATCTTGCCATCCACGCATATAGGAGTCATGCCCGGACACGGGGAAAGTCTTCTGCTTGTATCTTCACGGCCCATCAGCCCAGCCCATATCAAATAGTCCGGACACCCGAGGACCCCCTAATCCAGGACTCCCTCAGTATCCCCCGAACTTGCCTTCAATTGACGATGTAGTATCCGGCTTATGTCTTCGGCTTTTGCAAGGCGGATTCTTCATTACACCCCGGACGGACAACAGTCCGCCCCTAACTTTCATGTTCTGCCTTTATGACTCCTTCCCTGTCATCGCCTCGATTTCCACATGCCGGGCGAATGCGAACGGTCCATAATAATTCTTTACAAATAAACCCCTGACCACACCGGGGCGGTGCCTATATAAAGAGGTTAGATCCCCAAGTGCCATCCACATCGTGCAGAAAACATCAAAAACTAGCCACGAAAAACTTCAAAACATGGCCAGCGCTCCCAGCTCTTCTTCGCGCCCTCATGGCCCTCAAGAGGGTGATTGGCGGAGCTGCTCAGTGTCCCGTCTTCACCTGAGTCGACTTCAGACGTAGGGATATCTCCCTCTCATAGATCTAGTCCCTGTGCGAGCGGGATTGGCCTTGATCGGCAACGATGCGCTAGCAGAAAATTTCCCCAACCCCAACAAGGAGGAGAGGGTATGCTTCGTTTCGTTTCTCTTGCGGGGCTTAGGATTTCCAATCCATCCCAGGGACCTGTTGGAGTTCTACGGAATCCAACTGCACAACCTCACCACAAGTTCGATTCTACACATCTCGGGCTTTGTCGCTCTCTGCGAACTGTTTCTAGGCTGCGAGGCCCACTTTGAACTATGGAGAAAGCTCTTTTGCCTCGTCCCTCGCCATCGAGGGGGGTCCATATTTGAAGTGGGCGGTGCCGAAGTATGGCGCATAGTCGGATCAGGCTACCCTATTGGAACTCCCAAGGAGGTATCCCAAGAATGGTCTTCGGAATGGTTTTATATTGAGGACGTCCCCCTTCCAGACCCAGTTTGGCACGACCTCCCCGAATTCTCCAGTGCTCCTTTGAAGAAACGCCTTAATTGGCGCCCCCGGAGTCCCAAGGAGGAAGACAGTGCGGAGGTAAAGAGGTTGGTCAGCAAGGTCAGATTACTGGCTCATTCCAAGATCTCGATAATCGAAGTCATGACCATTGCAATAAAATGATGTATTCGGCCCCTTCAGTCCAGAATAACTCCTTTATGGAGTTATAATGGATAAGACGACGCATCTCGCTACAGGCGCAGGGGCCCAGATACCCTAGCCGAACTGGTCATAATCCTGGCTGATCTGTATAAGGGGGAGAAAGAAAACTTCCTTCGCTTAAACTGCCGAGAAGGCTTTTCCATGTACAACCCCATTGAATGGGTAAGTTTTTGATTATCAGCACTGTTTTTCCTTGTTATCGAGGCATGCTAATCAAATTGTTCTTGTTGTCTGATACGTCTCCAACGTATCTATAATTTTTGATTGCTCCATGCTATATTATCTACTGTTTTGGACATTATTGGGCTTTATTATCCACTTTTATATTATTTTTGGGACTAACCTATTAACTGGAGGCCCAGCCCAGAATTGCTGATTTTTGCCTGTTTTAGGGTTTCGAAGAAAAGGAATATCAAACGGAGTCCAAACGGAATGAAACCTTCGGGAACGTGATTTTCTCAACGAACAAGACACGGGAGACTTGGACCCTACGTCAAGAAAGAAAAGAGGAGGCCACGAGGTAGGCGGGCGCGCCTGCCTACCCCAGGCGCGCCCTCCACCCTCGTGGGCCCCTGTTGCTCCACCGACGTACTCCTTCCTCCTATATATACCTACATACCCCCAAACGATCAGATACGGAGCCAAAACCTTAATTCCACCGCCGTAACTTTCTGTATCCACGAGATCCCATCTTGGGGCCTGTTCCGGAGCCCCGTCGGAGGGGGCATCGATCACGGAGGGCTTCTACATCAACACCATAGCCCCTCCGATGAAGTGTGAGTAGTTTACCTCAGACCTACGGGTCCATAGTTAGTAGCTAGATGGCTTCTTCTCTCTTTTTGGATCTCAATACAACGTTCTCCCCCTCTCTTGTGGAGAACTATTCGATGTAATCTTCTTTTTGCGGTGTGTTTGTTGAGACCGATGAATTGTGGGTTTATGATCAAGTCTATCTATGAACAATATTTGAATCTTCTCTGAATTCTTTTATGTATGATTGGTTATCTTTGCAAGTCTCTTCGAATTATCAGTTTGGTTTGGCCTACTAGATTGATCTTTCTTGCAATGGGAGAAGTGCTTAGCTTTGGGTTCAATCTTGCGGTGTCCTTTCCCAGTGACAGTAGGGGCAGCAAGGCACGTATTGTATTGTTGCCATCGAGGATAACAAGATGGGGTATTCTTCATATTGCATGAGTCTATCCCTCTACATCATGTCATCTTCCTTAAGGCGTTACTCTGTTTTTAACTTAATACTCTAGATACATGCTGGATAGCGATCGATGAGTGGAGTAGTAGTAGTAGATGCAGGCAGGAGTTGGTCTACTTGTCTCGGACGTGATGCCTATATACATGATCATACCTAGATATTCTCATAACTATGCTCAATTATGTCAATTGCTCAACGGTAATTTGTTCACCCACCGTGGAATACTTATGCTCTCGAGAGAAGCCACTAGTGAAACCTATGGCCCCCGGGTCTATCTTTATCAGATTGATCTCCTACTACTTAGTTATTTCCTTTGCTATTTACTTTGCCTTTATTTTACTTTGCATATTTATCATAAAAATACCAAAAATGTTATCTTATCATATCTATCAGATCTCACTCTCGTAAGTGGCCTTATAGGGATTGACAACCCCTATTTGTGTTGGTTGCGAGGATTTATTTGTTTTGTGTAGGTACGAGGGACTCGCGCGTAGCCTCCTACTGGATTGATACCTTGGTTCTCAAAAACTGAGGGAAATACTCACGCTACTTTGCTACATCATTCCTTCCCCTTTGGTGAAAACCAACGCAGTCCCCAAGAGGTAGCATTGTCTTAAAACAGTCATGGAGGAAGGAGGTTGAGAACATTCATTGTCCCTCCCCACAGCCAAAGGATCACGCTCGCAACGAAGACCCCGGCTTCCGCGAGGATCCGGATATATACATAGAGTTTGATGATGGAGTATTTTATCAGGCGAGCCTTGACGTCTCAGAGGTGGCAATTACGGCCGACTACCCGCGCCTTTACCCCTTCTCCATTTTAAGTATTCGAAAAACTTCCTCAAAAAGGAGCCCATGTTTACACCTTACCCCTTACACTAGAATGTGTTTTATAGGATCGGCACTCCGCAAGCCATACTCCATCGAGAGCGGCCTCTACGCAGGGTGACCGTTCGAAACGAACGGAAACCAAAAGCGCCGCCGAGCCCCCTCCTTCTTCAAAGAGGTACGCCCTTTGATATGTGCCTAAGCATGAGATCAAATTGTAAAACTTCTCCGCCTTTATGTTAGGAAGAGCACACGGCAAACCGTGGGCAAACGTCCTGCCAGCCGTGTATCGGCTAATATGGCTACAGGCTCGTCAATCGGGACGAGAGCTGATATAGTACTAGATCCACCCCCTCATGAGGATTCGGATGACGTATCCGTCATGAATTCAGAGGTGGAGAGCGTGATGAATCATCGCCGACTAAAAGAGGCCATGCGCGCTCTAGTTTTTACTGAATAGGAATTCACTGCCCTCAGCTCCGTGGATGCATATATCCGGGCAGCCCGGGATGGACTTGCCGGAGTTACTCAGCTATTCTCAAAGTATATGCAGGTAATAGCAAATTTAATAGATATATGCCAGTAGCCCCCAAGAGTTGAAGCGGTTAGGCCAACCAATTTAAGGATCATTATGACCTGCAGGTTCTTAGGGAGAAGAACAATGCACTATCCCAGGAGCTGAAAACAAACCAGACGAAGCTGAATGTCGTCACCATGGAGCTGGCGGGGATGAAGAAAGCCACAATGACCACCGATCAAAAGAACAAGCTCGAGGAGGAAAAAGATAAGCAAGCCAAAGACATAAAGATCTTAAAGGCTCAGTTATCGGCCGCGCAGAAAGAAAACAAGAAGTTAAAAGGAGGCATATTCGATATGACCTTTTGAACCATCCAAAGGATTTATAGTGTCCCATAGTTCGGATTGTCACTACTTTGTTGTTGCAGGTGTGTTAACCGGTCGGCCTGAAAGAAAGTATC